TGATTCTGTGATTCTATACACATGCCGTGGTACTCTCACTGCCGTTTAGGTATTTTGTTTCCCTTGAGGAATTCTCCTTTAAATGCTATTAAGCATCTGAATATGCAGCACAATCCTCTGCGGGATGATTTCATCTTTGCCAAATTAACGTTCCTTGTGAGGTCTTCTGAGGGTTACGGGAGGCCCTCTTTGGAAAGCACTGCAGTTTTCCCTGTCGGATGTTTCTGTGCTGATGACACAGGTCAGACTGAAGGCATACATGCAGGAGAAACACAGAGGTATTCGAGACGCTGCTGGAGTCACGGTGCCCACAGAGTTGCCATCAGAGCTGAAATCACATGGGTGAGGAGCTGAGCGTTGAAAGGTTACCCTCTCATCATACATCTGGACATCTAGAGAGATGCCAAGTCCAAAACCACGGCCCACTTCGTAGTCTCTGAGCCTGCACTGAGGACATGCTTTTTCCTAAAATCCCCCTTCCTAATTAAACTGCATTTCTTTACTTCAGAAAGAGCCGGGCTTTAAAACAGAAGCGCAGTGGCTGCCGCGTGGCGTTCCTGACGCTCCTGCACCAAATCCTCCCGGCGGCACCCGAGTGCTCATCCGAGATAACGGTGAGGCTGCTGGTCACCGCTGGCCGGGAAAACACCTTCCCGCTCCTCCGAGCTGTCTTCAGGAACATGACCTTGATAACGAATGGAACTAACTACCTTCTGGAGGCGGGGATTGGCCTAGCAGGTAGTGTTTCATCTTTGTAGCACTAAATACAGAAAGACGGATCTTTTAAATCCGTTTTAAAAACTAGCAATGCGATGTGACTCCGTGCTGCGAGCAGGAAGCCGTGGTGCTGGGGAGGCTACTGCGGTCTGGCTGCTCCGGCTGTCAATGTGCTCTGCCTGCACACGGGGTGCCAGAGGGGACAGCCCTGTAAACTCTTCCTACAGCCAGCTCTCTCCCAACACCATCCATCCAACCCACCCACCCACCACAGTGACGTTCTTTTGGTGCCTTTTCCCCCCGTCAGCGAGACACTGAAATCTGTTCATTAGGCGTGCGCTAATGAGACTATGATTTACTTCACGTCTTTCTGGCCTTCAGGCAACAGAGCACCCTGGAACTGCCATGCAATCTGAGTGGGACCGTACCCCCCGGCCTCCCCTCCTTCTTGGTTTAGATTGGACATCAGGAAGAAGTTCTTCCCGCAGAGGGTGGTGAGGCACTGGGACAGGTTGCCCAGGGAAGCTGTGGATGCCCCATCCCTGGAAGTGTCCAAGGCCAGGCTGGATGAGGCTTGGAGCAACCTGGTCTAGTGGAAGGTGTCCCTGCCCATGGCAGGGGGGTTGGAACTGGATGGGCTTTAAGGTCCCTTCCAACCCAAACCGTTCTGTGATTCTGTGATTCTTCTTGGGGCAGGGGCAGATGCACCAGCTGTGAGGCCTGGAAGAGGTGGAGCAAGGTACGGAGAGGAGGAGAAAAGGGACAGAAGCGTCATTCACCTTTGAATTTTTCATTATTCATGAAGGGTGGTAAACCAGACAGATGAGCTTCAAACCCACAATTTATTAGTTCACTCACATGAGGTGTTCCTCCATCTTCAGCGATTTCGCTTTACTTCCAAGGCCACATCGTGCATAATCAGCCTGCGGAATCAGGAGATTGGGGCCCTAAACCTTTCAAGGGTTTATTTGATGTAGAATTAGAAGTTATAGCTGCTGTACAAGGTTAGAAGCCTCTGCTGTCTTAGTCATAAATAAGTCTTAAGAGAAACCGAGATACAATGAGTTATTGCTTTACGGTCACCCCGAAAGCATAAAATTCCATAATTTGCCAAGTCCAATGCAGTGTGTTAATCAGAGAAATGCAAGGAAAAGGCGAAATAATTCTGGGCTAATAGAAGTCTGGGGGAGAAGGTACATACACTGGTATGCAACAGCAGCACCTACTGGAAAGAATGTCCCTTGATTGCCCTAGAATAAGTTTCTAGAGATCACAGAGAAATATTTATTTTTATACCGTCTGTCTCGGGAGCCGCAGACACAGAAGTGTCGGAGAGAGGAGTCTGATTGCCTAACGGAACTAGAGGAAGAAGAAATCGGATATGAGAAACAGTTGCTAACCCAAAATGCTAAACGTGTTTCTACTCATGAACTCTTTCTGTTAGAAGGTGCCATTAGGAAAATTGTCATTCTGGCTAACCTAGCCTTCCTTTAGTATCTGTCATCTTCGTATATGAAATTTTGCAAGGAATTTTAAAGGTATGACATTAATAATTGTCCTCATCTTTCCTGCAAGTCATCTGTTTGCTCTGGGGTGCATGTGTGCCAAAAGCCTTCGTATTGCCAGCAAATAACGACAGTCCTTGAAGCGAGATGGGGACATTTGGTATTTTTTGAAATCGTATTTGTCTTTATACTGAAGTGGAATTAAGAAATGAGGAGATTCAAGCAGTGTTTCTGAAGGGCGTGTCAGAAGAAACCTTGCTGTGGGCCAGGGACCTTTCCTACCTATACACAACCACCTCAGGTGTGCTGCAAACCCCTTTACCAGCGGATTTGGCACGCTGACCTGCACCAAGGACATGAGAAGCATCAAGGAAAGGGCGTTGGCTTTGCCTTGGGTACTTCAAGCATCAAGAGGGCGTAACGGTAACTGCACATCATCAGCACTGGGTAAAGAAATGCTTTGGGCTGATCACGGCGTCTTCTGCTTCCTTAAGATCCCGTCTGTCGGGCATGACGGTCTCACTTGATTGTAGGCCCAGTCAAAGAGGTGGCAACATGGCGCCCGCGGGGAAAGCGAAGCTCCGTCGTCCCGTGCTGGCCTGTTGCAGTGATCTGGAGAGCAGCCACAACTGAAATGCAAGTGTTGCTGAGTTGCAGTTAAGCAGGAAACTGGTTTGGAGGTCACTGGAGTCTCACCATAAATCAGGTGTAATAGGTTATTACCACCTGAAAGTGGTGCACCGGAGTTTGGAGTTTATTGTAACACACCAAAATGTAGCGTTACAATACATGGGGATGTAGTTTCCTTGGCCCTGGATCACTACTGACCACCAAACCTGTTAAAGGAATGAGCAGAAAAGCCAAGAGTTTTCCCGCAATCTCCTTACACTCTGATTGCTCATTGTGACATTTCAAAGCCAAAATCCCAGCCTTTCAGCTTCTTCACAAAACACAGCTAGCATTAGACTTGCTGAGGAAAGCTACTGCATGCTGAGAAACAGTGAAAAGCCGAATCTCCTCCTCCTTCTTCCAGAGCAACAAAACATGTCTCCACCTGAAATCTGACAAATGAGAAATAGAGTGGAAACAGATACCATTTACACACAAAACGAACCCCCAGCCAAAATATCACAGAAAAAAGAACTGAATTGCCAGGAAAATACACGTTCCTAAATATTTGCAGCTCCCACGCATCAGCAAACACAACAAAGCAGATTTGTGGAGAACTTCCTTCCCACACAACACAGGTAGACAGGTGAGCAATTCCGAAGAGGTAGTGATCTTCAGGTGGGGGATGGTCAAACCCAGAGAAGCCTGTGGACAGATATGAGCTGGCTGTCAGAGTCTGGAACAGGAGTTGGAGCTAGGACGTGTGCTGAGATGGGGTTCGGACCTTCTGGAGCTCTGGCCACGATCAGGGCGGAGAGCAAGGATTTAGATGGCGCACCCGGTATACCGTGTTTCTTGGGAAAAAGAGGGATTAAACTCAGATTGGATTCTCTAATGCAGCATATCAACTATAGGAACTTCAGCAAGACTTGAAAAGCACCACAGGTGAAACAGCTTCTCTGGGTCAAAGGTTTATTTTTAATGACACAGCACTGGAAAACATAAGTTACAGATGACTTTTTGATACAGGATACATTATATATCTTATTTTAAAAGGATCTGTGAAGGTACGCTGCATAAATACATATAGTGAAAATATATTGTGTTTATTTCTTCTCAGAGATTAGTTCTGTTTCTTTTATTTATTTATTCAGCCAATTAAATTAAAAAAGTATAGATTAGCATCATAACAGCTCCCACCCCAGATTATCTCATTGTAACTACAGCAGCTGGAAGGGGAGACTGAGCCATGCCTTCTCAAAGGTTTAGCAGCTTGGAACATGATGTTGTTCATCATCTTGGAATGAAAATTTCACATTACAAACACAGATACCGTATCATGTTTTGGCAATGGAGCAGCTAGTTTTCGCTTGGGAACAAAACCGTTTCCTGTAATGCCAGACAGTGGAAGAGCGATGCATGTACTGATGATACTAAACAGTCAAAGATCTACGAGGAGGTTGTGGAAATGCATATACATCCATATGCACTTATATATACACGTTCGAAGTTCTCGGGTGTATATATATTATGCACGTCCAAAAATAACATTGAAAAACGTTGCAGCAGTTGTTTAGTTTTGTTTTAAACACATGAAACTTACAATAGTTTGACCTCATTACTACAGGATAACTAATTAAATCTTCTGCAGTGCAACTCAGTACAACACACGTAGTGCAGAGAAGTTAAGGTTTTGGTATTGAGGAGGCTAATTTCAGATTTCATGGGAAAGGACCAAATACAGGATCACCATAGCTCTGACAAAGCACAAACAAACCTGTTGCCACGTACGTGTGAACAAATAAGGACATTTCTTTTTTAGCTGATTTGTTTTTCTTCATGTACTGCTTCAGAAATTGCTAGCTTAACTGCTTGCATTCATGCTCATTTTGATATGTTCCAACAAGCTTTGTCTGGCACCAGTCTGTAAACCATTAACAGCTTAAACTACAAAAAGGTGAGCTCCTGTGTTTCAGAGAGGTTAAAAACCTACTGACTGAGCTTCGTACCACGTTCGTCTGCCTGAGCGGAGGGAGCACTACTCCAGGTGGTGCGTGAAGTTCTCTGGGAAAAGTCCTTTATAACTATTTGCATCTCTGTACTGAAGCCACTCGGATTCCTTAATGCCCGTCAACCAGCCAGCTTCCTGCAAGGAGAAAGACAGACTCTTAAACTTCAGGCCTCCCCTCTTCCTTGCTACCAGCTTCAGACCTGAAGACATTCCAGAATCACATGGCTAAAATTATAGAATCATACAATCACAGAATGGTTTGGGTTGGAAGGGACCTTAAAGCCCATCTAGTTCCAACCCCCCTGCCATGGGCAGGGACACCTTCCACTAGACCAGGTTGCTCCAAGCCTCATCCAGCCTGGCCTTGGACACTTTCAGGGATGGGGCATCCACAGCTTCTCTGGGCAACCTGTCCCAGTGCCTCACCACCCTCTCTGAGAAGAACTTCTTCCTGATATCTAATCTATACCTCCCCACTTTCAATTTAAAGCCATTAAAGATTCGGTGCTTTGGTTAAAAAGCAGCTTCTGATTTTGCAGTTTTCTTTGTTCTGGTCACAGTTCTGTGAGACGGAGTGACTGTGAGCATACTGTACAGCCTTTAGCCCATCTGACCCCACGCTGAACTCAAAACTGGATAATCAGGCTTCTGGGCCATCCAGTATTACACCAGGTGTGCATGTCTGCAAATCTCTGCTGAAACGTTTTCAAAGTCCCCACACTGGTGCTGCTGCACTTGCGCAGTAAGAGCAGAGCAGTGGGCCAGAAACACTGCACAATACCACAGATGGGGGGGAAAAAGAGTTTTCAGTCTGGGTTTTTTTTATCTCTGAGAGTTCTTTTCTCTTGTTCATGTATCAGCAGTCACAACAAATACTAGTTCTCGCGTCCTCTGGAGTTACTATTTCTTGAAACTCAAACTTAGTTGATATTGAATTATTTTTCAAAACATTCCTGGGAACCTAAACCAGAATTTGACATGCAAAACTGCAAACCCAACCCGCAGCCCAAGCAATCGAAAGGGAGATTTCTTATGGGAAAGCGCCGGGTTCTCTTAAGTATCATTGATTCTACCTGCAATAAAATCCATTCAGTAATTTTTTAAAATGATCAACCTGTTCTCATCCCACTAACTCTGTGGTGCTTTATGCCTTTTAAGAGCAGGAGCCAGAGGAAAGCCGTGATGAGCAGGGAATTTCTAATGCTTCCATGTTCTTGTGGCACAGGCAGTACACGAGGAGATAGAGGCATACGGACAGATCTTCACGTGCAACTCCAGGTCGTGATTGCTCGGTGGCTGCGTGTGGCGGTGCGCTGGCTCTCTGCCCCAGAATAAGCATCACTAAAGCAGGTACCGCTTAGTACCTTAGCCTATGGATGGCGTTGGCCGGGTACGTGTAACTGGGTACACGTTTTTGGAGCATATGGAATATCTGAGAGAGAGGAACTACAGCTTCCGAGTACAGGTAGAGTAGATTGTAGGAAGGAATTAACAGTTTTATTGGGTAACAGCTTCCACTCAAGACTAATGGAAAAATTGAAGGGCCTGGATGGAGCTGATTTGCTTCGAACGGGGAACACAGGCTGGTGTTACCAGCTATATTAGAATTATGGTTTTAGACAGGTCAGTTTGAAAGAGAATAAAGAATAACAAAGATAAAAATATTTATATAAGATTTATATAAATCAACAAAGCACCTGGCAAAAGACAAAAATATTAAGCTCATGTTCACGTTAAATGTGAAGGGCAAATACGTACAGAGTACTGAAGATATGACCAGAGGGGTTTCAGAAACCTGAACACATAAAGATTTACTTTCTCCACCGCTGCACACAACTTAGTCCAATTAATGCCAATGGCATTTGGATGCACACCGCCAGAGAAGAACCTACTCCATGGATTCACCAAGTGAAGACTAAGGATACTCGATAACATCCTAAGAAAAACAGGCTGAAGACAGAGAGCAGAGTTTGCTCTCCTTACAGCAGTGTCCTACTCTGCAAATACTGATAATGGAATCACTTGAACTGTCCATGAGGGAAGACGCGGAGTGATCCGAGTAAGGATAAAAGAATCTATCCCTATAAAAAGCGCAAAGTGTCCTGATGAAAGAAAAATGTTTTATTCCGGAAAAATAAAACCCCAACCCACAGAAAACAACTACTTGCCCCTTGTATGAAAAGAAAGCTCAGCTGAGATGCTGAACACTGGGTATTACCCACCCTTGGGCAGCATCAACCATCAGATACACTCCCCAGCACTCACACGTGCTTAGGGCACTGGTGTTTAGCCTTATCTGAAGAAATACTCTTCACCCAGAGCACTGCTCTTTGCTACCTCGCTAGGCAGGATCCCCTCAGTGGGAGGGACGCTGTTCACCAGCGCCACTGGCACTAGCAGATGCCGGCGAAGCGGCTGACGCTAACAGCACACAGTCTGGTCTCCTCTTTCAAAGCTGTGGCTGAAATTCAATTCACTCCACTGCAATTCAATTTAACACGTGGAATGAAATTGTTTTAAAACATCACCTGAAACACACTGTTAAAAAAAAAATTAAATGCCTAAAATGAAATTAAACTGATGTTTAATTCAGGTTCAGGCTTCCAGAGGGCAGAGTTACTTTTAGAGGCATGCAGCACACGTAGCAGCACCTCCATACATTTTGGCTGTAGGACACCACAATTTGTGTGCAGTTTCAGTGCTCTCTGGGGGTGACTTTGTATTATTTCTCAGGGACCAGTTCTGCTGCAATGTTAAAACAAGATGATGTATAGCAACATAATGCACAATCTGTAATTCATCTTCCATATTAGGTCTTTGTGTGCATATAAAATACGTAAAATCCACTACACAGTAGCATTAAAAAAGCCCTAGAAAATATGCTGAAGTTGGATCTTGTTCATAGCATATATCTGGGACTTCAGCTGTAGCCAAGTGTGCAATTTAGTCTCAAATGGAACCAAGTACAAAGCCAAAATTAGAATCTTCATGTTTTCTAACAGTAGGGACATTTGGAATACACATCTCCCATTACCTATAAACTGTGAGAAATAAAATGAGACAAAGAAAAACGTCAACAAAACAGAACTGCACGTTTTTACCTGATCGGCTGTGGTCTCAGAAGGAATTACTAGCACAATATCTCCTCGTTTTAAATTAAGCTCATCACTGTTAGCTGCCTCGAAATCGTGTAGAACTTCAACCTGGAGAAAATAACACCAAACATATTGACATCGTCTAAATGGAGACATCTTCTGCAAAAAAATTTTCTGTTAAATCTTGATTGCAAAAAAAAAACCCCAAGAAAAATGTGCCTTCTTTACGCAAACATGGCTATAGGTAGGTACACTCAAATTGTTAATGTTAAGATTGCTTCATGTCAAAGGTGTCTGTTCATATCCTTGGAAGCAGGGACAGCTTACGTAAGTCTTCATTAAACTACCAAAGGAAACCTAAGGTCCTTTCCCAAGGACACAGGATCTTGAGAGCAGATGATACTCCAACAGCCCACGAGTCCTTCCTCTCAGACCAAGTCCTGACACTTACTTCTTCTGTGTAAGGAATTTGTTTTCCTTCCCCACTATCAATACGAGATCTGAGAGAGGGATGGCAGGATTTTGCAAATAAACTTGGGAAAGACACCCAGGAACTGACATTTCAGACTCATTCTCTTGTTGCGGCCACTGGATATTATTCTTGCAGTAAACATCCATGGAAATTTGAGTGCGACGTACAGCACCCATTTCAGTAGGTGATCCAAGACGTGAGTAATCATAGAATCACGGAATGGTTTGGGTTGGAAGGGACCTTAAAGCCCATCCAGTTCCAACCCCCCTGCCATGGGCAGGGACACCTTCCACTAGACCAGGTTGCTCCAAGCCTCATCCAGCCTGGCCTTGGACACTTCCAGGGATGGGGCACCCACAGCTTCTCTGGGCAACCTGTCCCAGTGCCTCACCACCCTCTCCGGGAAGAACTTCTTCCTGATATCCAATCTAAACCTCCCCACTTTCAATTTAAACCCGTTACCCCTTGTCCTGTCACTACAGGCCCTTGTAAAAGTCCCCCCCAGCTTCCTTGTAGCCCCTTCAGGTACTGGAAGGGGCTATAAGGTCTCCCCGGAGCCTTCTCTTCTCCAGGCTGAACAAGCCCAACTCTCTCAGCCTAGCCCCATAGCAGAGGGGCTCCAGCCCGCGGAGCATCTTCGTGGCCTCCTCTGGACTCGCTCCAACCAGTCTGTATCCTTCTGATGTTGAGGGCTCCACAGCTGGACGCAGCACTCCAGGTGGGGTCTCACCAGAGCAGAGCAGAGGGGCAGAATCCCCTCCCTCGACCTGCTGGGCACACTGTTCTGGATAGTGGTAACCCTACTTAAGTCTGCCCTGGAAAGAGCTCCCATTTACTGGCAGATGGGCATGCTAAAAATATCTGTCTTTCAGAGGAGTGATTATTAAACCACTGGCAGGATCAGCATGCCGTTGTGAACAGACCACTTGAACTAAATGCTTCGATCTCCTTAAGAGATAGGCTATTCTAATTTTTTCAAAGCACAGCCAGTTCCATGGTAACTCCGCAAGAATGAAAGAAAGTGGCATCAAGAGCCAGATGGCAGGCATATATTCTGCTTCTCCTTATTTATGTCTGACCCAAGAGAGTGTGCTGAAAACCAAAAGATGAACTGTGTCAGGATGTCTGAGTCAGAGTTGCATGATACAGTTCACCCTCGCCTTTGCGTTATTATCAAGGTTTGCTGAGAATATTGACCAATGAGGATAGAGCAAGAACGGCATACTTAAGGAGTGCTATGGGACTAATTCGTCTGAACCATGCAAATTTTGATAGGAAGCACGTAAAGTTCACCCATCCTCGAGGAGCTTTTCTGCCGCCCAGTGATTCTGAATGGAGAAGCATTATCAAAGAACCCTGCTAACCAGGAAACCTTACGGGTCTTGCCAGCCAAGGGGAGGATTTCTTTTATTCCTCATTAAATGTTTGATTACTCTAGTGGTTTATAACTATCATATTACTAAAGTCACAGAATGACATTTTAGCTTCATTACCATGAATTGTAGAAGTCCCATGGGCTTCAATAGAACCAGAACTTCCATTACAGATCTTCAGGCCAGAAAAGTGCCTTTTTAAATATTCATAGAATCATAGAATGGTTTGGGTTGGAAGGGACCTTAATGATCAAATATATTGTTAGTATATCAGACATACTGTTAGCATACACCACACAATACTGCTGACTAGCTCTGTGGCAGGGGGTTTTACTCAATATATTCACTGTCGGTAGTAATTTGGGGAGATGAAAGGGTTCCTGTATTTCAGTGAGTCCTACAGCTATGTAAGGATGAGCACAGCAACAACGGTGTGCAGAAACCGTGTCTGCTCAGGCTTCACGTATGAAGCAGCAACACAGTGTCAAAGTTGTGTTCGCGTGTGTTCATATGAGCACACGTCTGGCAGTTAAGCTAAGCGTCCTCTGGCCTAAAGCAATCGGCACGCTGCCTGCACGGACAGAGACATCCACAGAAGCTAGATCCGAAGGGATGCCTAGCAGAAGAATGAAGGAGCAGACCTTAAAGAGAAAGCCGGGTGGCAGTGCCGGAGCCGCATCTTCTGCCGAAACAGGCTGGTCTTGAGAAGGTGCGGCCTGCGTCTCTTCGGTCGGCTTCTGCTCGCTTTCAGCTTGGGAAGTTTCACCGGGAGACGTGTCAGTGCCCTGAGTGCCCATCTCTGCAGCAGCATCTTTGGACTCATTCACGATGACCTCGTGTTCTTCTCCTTCCCCCTCGTTGTTTGATGCTGGCTCTATTACTACTGAAGGGATGCTGCCGACCTTCTCCTGGAGGAAAAGAAACCAAACCGCAAAAGCACCACTGGAGCATTTAGTATTTTATTTCACGTAGGAAAACACAGTCGTTCATTTATGGCACAGGGCAAATGCGAGAACTGGGATTTCCTGCTTCTCCACAGCTGATTCTTACAATTAGGACTAAAACCAGTACTTGTGCCACAACGTAATGGAGTAAACCCTTCCCTGTTTTTACTCTTCCCATTATCCCACCTAAGCCTCCTTTCTATATTACCACCAATTATTGCTGTAAATAATAAAAATGCTCGCATGTAGTTTGGGTTTCATTTTCAGTGTCCCCGGAGATTAACAGACCTTTCTCCTCACCTCCACTCTTAACTTGGTGTACGTTTGGATAAAGCCACAAGTCCCAGGAATCACCATCCCGTGTTTCTTTGGGAATTCATGTCAACAGGATAATAGTGATATAAAGGTGATGAAAGAAGAAAACATCACCTGTTTCTCTGACTGTTTGAGCATCCTATTTTGGTGCACAGAAAAAAATACAACATGCAATGACAGGAAGTGCCAACTGGGCCGGGTCTGCCCTAGTAGCTGTTCCTCAGCTCCTCAGAGGGCGCAGAAGAAAAGGTAGCAGAACAGATGCAGATACACTGCTTGATTTGTGAACATTGTGATTTACGTAAAGCAGAGTAACGCTATTGATGGGACATGGTGCCAGGAGACAAGAAAAGTCCATTACTGCCTCTGCCTATTCCTCCAGAAAGCCCTGTTAGGTTATGCGATAAAGCTTGTCTCCACAGAGGAGCACAGGGAGACAAGAGTAGGATTGGGAGCCCAAACAATACCCTGCTCATGCTGCTCCCATGCCTGTCACAGGAGCACCAGCCCATCAAGTCCCATCTCCACAAGCCCAGGGGAACACAGGAGCACAAAGGCAGGCAGAACCCAAACTATCATAGAGCCTGGCTACTGGTTGGACCTGGGGGCACGGAGCAGTTTTGCCTCTCTTGGGCTTCTGGATCTGCCCCGATTCCCTGAACACACTAACATGAGTTACCTGAGACACATCAGCCTCCTTCTCTTCTCCCTGAGGTTTGTCACCTTCAGCAACACCCTCCTGCTCAGCGGGAGCAGCACCGTCACCAGCTCCTGCTGCCACAGCCGCACTGTCTTCTGCTGCTGCAGCCCCCTCAGTGCCAGCTGCCACCTAAAAACAGGAGGGAGGGACCTTTCAGGATACCAGTTCTGGATATCTGCTGGAGAGACCGTGGACCAGCCTCTGCTCTGACACCACCTTAGCAGAGTCCTCGGGTGTTACTGGTGGAGTAGCAGTTTGCCAAAGCTCTGGTAGTTTCTCCTTCTCTTGCCTTCAAGCTGTATTGTGGAATAAATTCACCACAGGCTTCTGCTGAGGAGGAGGAGCTTGAAAGCTGTCCAGGCGTCCACAGGACCCTGCTAGTGGAACCTGTTCCACAATCGGCTCCAAGTCTTTTCCAGCTACTATCACCTACCTCTAGACCTGGGCTGGCTTCAAAAATATTGTCTTAATTACACACTCCTTTCTAATGGTGAGACTTGCAAATTGGGCTATATCAGCAGAAGCAGATATATTCTAGAGCTGGATAAAGATCAGAAATCTTCATATTCCAACAGATATCAGAAAAAAAAAAAACAACTGTAAAGATCTAGGCCATAACGACATAGCTAGGTCAGTATTAAAAAAAGAAACATATATAAAAGCCCATTCACTCTGGATACGAGTGAACCACTTGCAATCAGTCCATGTCGAAAAGTAAATGCACGTTTTCTTCCAGTTCTTGAAAGGTGGATAGAAAAGTACCTGCCTTTGGGTCAGGGTTGAATCCTTCACCCATCAGAGACTGCTGCTGTAATTCCTGTATTAACCCAACACTTGTATTGGTATATGCTGGTATATGCCTTACAGTAGCGTGTTGGATATTTACTTACAGTGGATTAATCTTAAGGGTTAGATGGTGGAATGTAAATGACAAAACTCGTTCTGTTAATCTAACTAACTTCAATATGGAATTTTTCATGTATGGCAGATAGCACCAGAATAAAGTAAAAACGCTGAATAAAAATTGTTTTCTAGGTAACGACGTGAAGCTAGAGTTAGCAGAAAGAACTCTGATCTCCAGCTAACAGCCTGATGCTCTGTTTCCTCAATTTAATCTTTCCCCCATGGATGAGGCTAACTCAGCAACCTGAACCCAACTTGAACTACCTGCAACTGTTCATGGGCACTCTTCAGGCACTGGTTGTTAGCAATATCTAATATTCAGCACTACTCCTACTTGCTGCCATTAACTGATGTGATAAAAAAATTCTTTTGGAGTCCTTGAAGGCAGAAAATCCTAGAGGGTGTTGTAGAAATCACTGGAGAAGCTTTAGTTTAAACTGAAAACGCTGCTGACGAAGGATGCCCTGTCGTAATGAGAAGTAACATCAAAAGACATGGGCAGATGTTGACATCTTCTCCTGTAACGGGTAAAGCATGCAATCCTGCCGCTCACAGTATTCCCAGTTTTGGCAGCCTTGACCCAGGAAGGTATTCAAATAAATGATGAGTGTAAAGCCCTGGAAGAGGTTAGCAGGAATAGAGTGCCTATCAGACTGATTTTATGCCATGCGTTTCTAACAGCATGCTGCAGAAATTGATCTTGCTGTCTGTGCTGATTAGGATCAACACTTCTTTTCTATTTATTGGGTTTTTATAGCCCATTTTATTTCACTAAGGAGGAGAATGCTAATTTACATGAATCAGCTCTCAGATGCCCTGCAGCGATAGGCTCTCACAGCCCGTAGCCGTGAGTCACTGAATGCGCACCACAGCTCACAACTGCATAATCATTTGTTCCCGTGTCTCAGAGTACAAAAGCAATGCACGCTGGATGATTAAAAAACCCCACGCTTTTACAAAAGTGCATGTGAGGTAGCACAGAATGAACCTCACTATCAGCCTCAAATATATTTAAGAGAGAAAAGAAAAAAAAAAAAAGAGGGAGGATCATCCCACAGATTTCATGCCCAGCTATGGTGAACCACATCCTTCCAGATCCTGAATTACCTTACTTCATATGGAAAACCAATCCGACAAACCTCTTTTCCATAGGTCATCAGTAATATCAGACAGCCTAAGGGTATTGCAGATCAGCTAGCTGCAGCAGCGTTACTGAAACTTGGACAGTTGTCCCATTACAGCAACCACACAGGGGACAAAGACAGGGTCATCCAGTAGAACGAGGACTGTGACAGAACCACCTGGCTGTTCCAACTGCAGCAGAACTGAGCGATTCTTTACCCAGGACGTCTCCGGTTCACACTTGCCTCTCATTAACCTTGCTGTCAGCTCAACGCAACGCCACAGATTCGGCAGCAGCAAGAACTGGGCCAGGGAGGGCAGGAAGGCTGCTGAGCCTGAGGGTGTGCCAGAGGAGCTCCCTGAGCTCTGCCGAGTTTCTTGAGCTTAAGGTCTGGCCCCCCGGTTGGATTTAGAAAGGGACTGGGTAATTTTTATGACAGTTGGGTTATAATTGCAGCTCAGCTAGCTAATATAATGTCAAGAGGAACGATCATCATGCTTTAGGGAATATATCTATTACTTGCAAAGTCTTGGAAGACCTCTGGGATAGTACTGAAGAATGTGTTATGCAAGTTACATAACATATCCCATAAGTTACTCTCCACTGGAGGCCAGGTACCAGCTTAGCAAATAGCTTGATGTCTTACGGCAGCACCTCCGCATACAGTAACATGCCCTTTGAAACAGAACACGGGGTCAGACTTACCAGAAAAGAGACCTCAGCTTTATAAGGACAAGGGCTACAAGACTTAGCCTTAGCGCTCAGGCATAGTGAGGAATTTCTTGCGTGTTTCTTCTTGGACCAGACTTGTTAGGAGTGACAAGCCATCGCCGGAGGAACAACACAACACTTTCTCGCGCTGCGTCACACCAAACTGGGCTTCATCTGCCACTCCCGTCCTGTACTTCCTTGCTAGCGTAATTCCACTGATTACTACGTGGATGTGGAAGTGCTGGGGAGGGTTACAGCATCAGCGAGTCCCAAATGCACTTCCCCGTGACACTGGGATATCCTGGAGCCACAGAAATACCCTCGCTCCAGTAGAGCTAATGCAGTTTTACAGCAGGGCAACAAACCCAAGCTTGGACCACGTTCTGAAACCAAAGTGAATTGAAACCAGTTTACAACCTTTCTGTACACATCGTGGCTCCAGAATGAGTGACAACAAAAAAGGAGGTTGCCATCACCTTGAGATCCAAATCTTAAGTGATTAATGTCTAGGAGTTACAAGCTCGCTCTCGGTCCCTGCTTCTGCTGCAGCATTTAATACGCAGCCATTCCTCTTGTGCTGCTCTCTGTGCATGGCTGAACACACTAGAATTTCACTTCAGTGTAGAAGGATTCGAGGTACGTAGTTTTATCATCTCGGAGGAAATATATGCAAAATATAACCATTTAGGGTCCACACACAACCAGCTTTGTGTGTCACTGATCTTTTCAGCTGTTTGATAATTTCATTTTAATTGTGTCTAATTTGATGCTGGATTTGTGCTTTAGAAAATAAAGTCCTAACGTTATTACTTTCAAACATCTGTTTTAGTTCAGGGCATATTGTGCTAAGAAAAAGAAATGATTAATCAAAGCTTTTTTCTTTTTATAGAGATGTTTGTGGGAAGGCTAGGCAAACTGATTTAGGGAAAGCGTAAAGCCACTGGGAAACAGTGCAGCACATTTCCGAACGTCAACAGAAAGAGTATTATACCTCCTTCTACCACGGAGCTGCATTGTTGGCTGCCCTGAGGCATTTATCACTCTATACTGCTACAGGAGGTGGTCTCTAAGGTGGGTCCTGCACTGAGTGAGAGATGCGCCGGTGTTGGAATATACACCGCAGACACTGATGTATCTGTGCAGTGCTAGAACACCGGGTCACAGTCGCATCGTATCGGCCTGCGCATTGATGAGATGCAAATGACAAATACGCCTTTTGCCATGATTCTCTTGGAGATATTAAAAGCACCACCACACTCTTGAGGCTGTTCATATGTACCTCGCTCTCTTTCTCAGCAACTCCAGGTGTCTCATCCCCTGCCTCCACACTGTCCTGTATAAAGAGGAAATAGGGTCATCACCTTAATCATGCTGAAGAGAAATCGGTATTAATCAAGCTTAATGGAAGCATGGCATGTGTGGGATGCAATGAAATGAATGGCTGGAACTAAATGGGATATAACAAGTGGAAAGATTCTTGCTGCCACGTATCATCTGAAATGAAAGTAGTTATACGCTAAAAAACATGAAATAAAACCTCTCATTTATGTCATCATTATCACACTGTAAGTGTTAAGGCCAATTTTGTTACTTTTGTTACCAGAATTCTCATAATAGCACCAGCTTTGAAGAATTTTTTTAGTAAGCAACGACCCACAACACTGCCGACCTTGCAGCTTCCAGCAAGCTCAAATTTCCGCCACCACTCAACAACTCTTCCCATTATAACCTGCTGCTCCTGCAACGCACCAGAATTTCAAGGTAAACTTCCTAAAACACTTACTTCTTCCACTCCTGTTGGACTGCAACTCATTTAAAGGGGCTGTTCAAAAGAGGTGGGTCACAAAGTTCATTTCTTTTGCAGAATCACCTTTCTCTAGGTCCTTATGCAGTGGTACCACTCCTGTTGGACTGCAACTCATTTAAAGGGGCTGTTCAAAAGAGGTGGGTCACAAAGTTCATCATTTTTTTTGCAAAATCACCTTTCTCTAGGTCCTTATCCAGTGGTACGTGCAGCAGGTGCCTGATGTGAAAAATTATATGTGTTGCCAGTGGTTTTCTAATCTACCACCCGTTTAGACGTTCAAGGGATCAAATGCAATGAACGGTAATGGACTAGCCCAAAATAGTACTTTTTACGGCACAGATGCCATCGAACAGTAAGTCCTTTTTTACAGAAGCTGTAAGACTGCCTGAGTTCAAGGTTTTGGAAAGTGGAGAAAAAAGGCACGATTATTCCCCGAACACCTTAGGACAGCTGTGGCCAAGCTGGTTTCCAACTCTACTGTAGGATTCATGGATTTAAGCAGTGGCTCAAACCAGTAACATCTCTTCTACTTGAGCTTGGATTCAGTTGTGGCTATTGCTATAGCCAGCAGGTTTAGGTCAACAGACTGTCAAAATCACTGAAATTCAGAGCTGGTTTGGAACAGTTGGAAGTGGTTTCTTCCTGTTCAAGTTTGACTCCCTGCATACACTGGCTATTTCTAAAGTCCCTTGGGACTGTCCTCATTAGCAGCAAAAATTAGGAGGTGGCAAGTGCTCAGGCTCCAGCTAACTGCCTTCACACGCCAACAACTGTCACTCCAAAACTTCTGCTAGTTTCAGTTGAAATGGCTGTATGTTTCTTTTTTAATAAAAGGATGCTGAGTTATGTCCTAACTTCATATCACTCATGCTTTTTCTAATCAAATCTTCCAGTATTGCCTGCAGTCACCTCATAAGCCCCAAACATGCCCAGATGACACGGCAAGGCAGCTGCTGACAGTGGTGTTACCATAGAAACCTTCTACAGCTTTATCCTGTTAAAATTACAGTGTTATATAACCTTTTTGATTTTTTTTTTTTTTTTAAAGCTCCCAAGCCTCTGCCATGGAGTCCTTGTTTTTATAATCACTTTGAGGAGACTGTAGAGGGTCTTAAATAGAAAAAACAAATATCAACAGCAAAATACAATTATTTCTTACTCCAGAGATGCCCACATGAAGTAATCAAATTAGCAGCATTTTGCTTTTGCTTTTTTGATTAGCTGGAAGTTGGGATTTTGTGGATGGTGGGGTTTGAGAAGACAGGCACAGTAGCATGAACTCTACAGTTTTTAGAGCATGAAAGCCTAGTAAAAAGGCTGACTGGAATAACACCTGAGTCGAGAAAAACCCTGGTTCCATAAATACAAAAACATCTGCTTCTGTAGACTTCAACGGAATGACACTGTTCTGTATCAGTCCTCTCGTACATGAGAGCCATATGTATTTTAATGGCCTCATGCTCCAACTTTGCGCCTGCACTTAGCTGCACACTCAGAATTTGGAGAGAGTTGTCCGCTCTTCTGCATCTAACCATCGCATTGCTCTCCCAAATGACATGCTTTGCCACCTGGGCACTGTGAATTGTACCTACCGTGGGATGCAACCATAACTAGGTACCCTCAAAGCTGAAGGCTGTTTCCTGGCCTCGGCTGTACTTGCTCAGTGTCTGCAAAGAGCTTATCAGGAGGCAGTTTCATATAGGCTTATACACAGCTTTGAAAACCACAGTGTTTAGCTGAGTGACTGCTTGAATGGAAGAACATCAGAGCCCAGGCAGGCATCAGCCCCAAAGCACCCAAAGGCTCTTTCCAAACAAACGGAAGTCAAACAGCAAATCTCTGAGCAGTGCTCTCAACTCCAAGCACTGTGTCTCACTCGTAGGAGAAGAAAGGGGAATAACAAGATTTCATAAGCTTTCACTTTATTATAATGCCCTCATATCATCTTTGATTGTGAAAAACTGACACGGTGAGAGGGGCAGTATTATTTGAAAAAGCAATAAACCAGCGGTTAATGCATTATACCCTTTAGACTGTATCCTTTGGGGATGCTATGAAAAGAGGGAAGCAACTATTTCAGTGTGCAGAAGTCCATGCAAGGACCCTTTACCACGGTTAACCATTTCTGTTAGTGCACGTAATCATTCTGTCCCTTTAATTACCAAACATTTGAGCATCTCCCCAAAAAGGATCAACTGCTGACAGCTACTAATAAAAACTTTATTTGTTCTGTGGCATTTGAGACCTGAAGGACCAACACGAAAATATAAAACGAGATCCCAGGATTCTGATGAGCTCTTGTAATGAAGTCTTGGTGACCTCAGGTTGACTACGGAACAGCAAGTGACTGAATCCAAAACTCCCTGAGCGGCAAGTGGTACCCTAACCCCTCTCCCTAATTTACATGGAAACCATACCAGAGAATTTACTGCAAAGCTCCTACAATGAAGAATGCCTGCTCTAAAATTCCGGCGTTAATGGGATGTGGCAGGAAATTCACCACAGAAAAACTAAACTGATTAGTGGCTGTCACTCCAAACTGGAAGTTACTGAACTTGATAAAAGAATTCCAACAAGAAAATATCTATCAATATTTTACAACTCCACTTTTAAGTAAACTGTTACTCATAAAGTGAGTGAATGCAGAACTGCTGCTCAGAAATTACATATTTTCACCTTTTACAACTCAGTGTGCTTTTCCTTAGCTTTGATCATATTTGTCATTAATCCTAAACTTCAAAACTCTTCTTTGCAAGTCCTGCAAAGCCGTTCCTGAGCTAACAACCCCTCAGAGCCAAATGCAGAACGACTCCAATTCAGACATTTTAAAAATCAACACTTTTAGCTTATTTTCCCAAATTAGCAAGGGTAACTTCAAAAGCAACAAAACCCCAAGCACAAACCTAATAAAACTGTTTAACTTTTATTTAATGCGTACGGTCTTCCAGATTGTGTGGCTCTTGCACAGTCAAGGGAACAGACCAATGACTGATTTTCCATGCTTCTTCTCTCCACCTTCCCTTCCTCCTTTATTCCAAACTGTCAAATTTACCCTGACTAGACATGAGGCATTCTGGACGAGAGTTTGACAAAACAACGTGCCTCAGACAGGCAGTTTCACTGTCTGCCTTACCGTAGAGCTGGCAAGCTATTACGGTGATTTCTGTCCACTGAAAAGAAAACACACAGGAGGGGAAGAGCCTGGTCTCCACAGATATGGGGATTATTTTACAAAGAACTAGGTATCATCACCCCTACTTAACAGATCATCATCCCTACTTAAGACATGAAGATACCCAGGGACCTGCCCACGGCCAAGAGCAGGTTCGGCATGCTGAACCTTGTTCTTCTGGAGACACTTACGGCACCAAGATGTGCCTGATGGTCAAAAAGCACAGCTGTAACGCTTCCGCTGGCTTCTGTGGCAGGGGAACCGGCCCGCAAAACAACCCCCTTTTCTGTCCAGTTTTTCAGTAGTAATCTGCATATTCTAACAGTGACAAACGCCTGTTGCAGTCTTTGAACGTGTGATTGTCTTAGGAAAGCATGGAAACTGTCAGCCTACCAGACCAGAGGCATTTTTCTTTCAGGGTTTCCTATCCTGTGGGTATCGCCCACCTCCAAGACCTTCTGACAGCAGTATGTAGAAGAGCAACTTCAGCTGTGTAAGAAGGATACTCACCAGGATAAACTGTTATAAAAGTGATGCCAGTCAGCACAAAACCCCCACACCTACCATCTCGGACTACCTCTCAATCTGAAGTGATATCGGGTGCCCTGCTTTGATCTTGCAGAGCTGTTATTTCTTCCAGACCTATCAGAGGGCTGGAGCCCCTCTGCTATGGGGACAGGCTGAGAGAGTTGGGCTTGTTCAGCCTGGAGAAGAGAAGGCTCCGGGGAGACCTTATAGCACCTTCCAGTGCCTGAAGGGGCTACAAGGAAGCTGGGGGGGACTTTTTACAAGGGTCTGTAGTGACAGGACAAGGGGGAACGGGTTTAAATTGAAAGCGGGGAGGTTTAGATTGGATATCAGGAAGAAATTCTTCCTGGAGAGGGTGGTGAAGCACTGGGACAGGTTGCCCAGAAAAGCTGTGGATGGCCCATCCCTGGAAGTGTTCAAGGCCAGGCTGGATGAGGCTTGGCCCAACCTGGTCTAGTGGAAGGTGTCCCTGCCCGTGGCAGGGGGGTTGGAACTGGATGATCTTTAAGGTCTCTTCCAACCCCAACCATTCCATGATTCTATGATTCTCCTCTCACCATTTCCTGAATGCTGACATGTACAACTCTCCAAACTGGTGCTTGAAGTTCCCTCTTCTGCTCACATCTGGCTTCTAAAACCATGAGCCTTGTAGACATTTTAACTACAATCATGCTTTTTCTGGTATTTTCATGCTCCAGCAAGGACCATAATTGGCTTAGTGCTTACAGCTCAGCTTGAAATGAAATAAGAAAACTGCTAATTTTCATTTGAAAATGGCATCAATTCTTTCCCCTTCTGAAGTTCATCTGGAAGCAAACAACCTGTGAAACCACTCTCACTCAGCTGAACTTCAGTCTAAAATGCCAAACCTAAGAGGAACGACATTTTAGGGCTGAAAGGAGGACACATGCTGGAGAGGCATGCTGTGACACAGCCGGGCGCTGGGGAAACGAGCCATGGTCGGACGGTGAAGAATGGAAAGGATGGCTGAAATGCAGCAGGTACATTCACCGTGACGAAAGGCAGCTGGGATGAGGCCCGGGAGGTGGCATGGGGGACAGGTCACTCACCACAGCCTGCTCTGCTGGTTTGGCAGGCTCAGCAGGGACGGCCTCCTTTTCCGCAACAGCAGCAGCAGGGGTTTCCTCGACCTTGGGTTCCCCAGGTGGAGCTTCTTCAGCCTCCGCCTTTCGTTTTATTGATTTTTAGGTAGACAGTGGAAAAATCGTTGAGGAGCACACAATAGTGGGGAGGGAGGAGGGGAATGGGAACTGCACCTGGCACAGTGCTGCTTCAGGCTCAGACAAGCCAGGCTTTGCCGGGGAGAGGATGGCTTTACAGCATCTAAAGGGCATTCTCATCCTCAGTGTTCTGTACGTAAACTAAGCCAGTCCTACATCCCTCCCTCTCAAGGAAAGAAAGCATTAGCTTCTTCCTGAGGTAGACAAAGGGGTGATGGAAAGGGGAGAAGGCACTAAGTCTGCTCAGAAATGCTCCAGAAACTGATGGCAAGGCCAGTTACACAACTGGCCCTTGTGTGTACGAATCCTGGCCTTCAAATATGAGTTTTTAAAATTATCCCCTATTCCCTAGTTCTTTCTGTTCTCAGACAATATAGTCCCTTCTCCAGTGAAGGTAAGAAGCAATTAGCAGAGACTCAAACAGTTTTTATATGCACAAGGGCAATCACTGGCTGTTTGAATTCTGGCAGTGTGAAAATCATCCCTGGTTTCTTATGAAGATGCACTCCCTCTTGAGCTCTCCATCACCTAAAAGGTGTCCATTTATCAACCCGCTATTGGGATTTCCACCCTTTTAAATTCTGTCCTAAGCTTGGTTTTTAGCAAGAGGCTCTAGCAAATATCACCAACCCTACTACACAGTCCTGTGGTAAAATAGCTCGCGTCAAAAGTGCGATCTCCAACGGAGACATCACTTTGCAAATACACACGCATACAAGGGGAGAGCTGCAAGCTGCGCTCAGCATATTCCATTTATAAAGATGGCTGACTCGACCAGATAAAATGACTCCAGTAGATTAATTTGCCATGAACAAATTGCTCAGCATAATACGAAGCTCAAAAGCTATTAGCTGCTTTGCTGTTGATAACAGGCAGCTGGCTGGAAGGTCTCCTGTGATGAAGAGACAGCTTCCATGAAATTCTTAAAGACACTAAAATCTTCTCCTCCCGGATATTTTTCAGGAAAAAACCCATAGCCTCTCACTTCTTTTCTCACATATTCCTTAAGCAGACCGATTTTTTAATGAGGTACAGAGATGTCTGCCTAAGCAAGACCTTCAGGATTTAGCATAGCATAAGGAGACATTCATTATATTATACCATGCTGTGCAGAAATGTCCCTGTGTACTGTATTAATTCCAGCTCTAGGGAGTTTCACAAAGAAGAAATAGGACTGAAATGAGAAACACAAAGTAGATTTGTCCCAGGTAAGATGACTAATGAGCATCCTGAGGTTTAACGCTGGAAGACACTTTCAGGCTTAAAATCATAGGTGACATAAAGCAGATTGCACTGATGTGCTTCAAGTCACTTACGGACGAGCAGACTTCAGACTAGTTACCACATTTCAGCTACAAGTAAAAATACTCTCACCGACTGCAGTACCCATTACGAACACAAGCACCACCAAAGGCATTACACAAAAGGCACATTACGTAATATTATCAGCCTGCTGCTATTCAGTAGGTATAGCACTCACCCAGCAATGCTGCTATTCCACTTCCTTACTCCAGGCTAACCAAAGACTGTAAGAGAAACTAAGAAACTGCCCAAGTAGAATCACTTCCAAAAAGATTCTCTGCCCCTTAGAAGTAGACTGAGCCTACGATTAATAGGTGTGGAGTGGATAAAGCTACAGAAATATTGCAGACATCATTCAAACAGCCAGCATGTACTATCACCTGCTTGCTGGACGCTGGACCAAAGTACTCACTCTTGTCATTTTATAAATGCAGTAAATATACAAACTGTTTGAGTACACCTTTGAAAAGTAAACCTATCTTAGCATATCCTGATTTTCTTTCCTTTTTCTCTTCGCTAGCCTTGTGAAAGACTGTTTCGGTGAGTAAAGATTTACAACTACAATGACATTACCTACCAACCCTTCCAGGTTAAGCTTTTATGATTTAGAGGATGGAAAACACAAAAAAAGGAGAAAATATCTTTGCACAAAGGAAAAATGGTGCCATTTTTTACAAGGCATTTAAGAAGGAAGCAAAAGCCACCACTTACCAAAGGCTCTGTCACATTCTCATTTGATTGCACTGTGAATGCAGAGGTATCCTAGATATAGAAATGAGAAACAATGATGCAAAAATATTTGAGACAGGATGTTTGCAGGTGTCTGTGAAAGACCTGATTTTTTAATGGTTTGTTCAGATAAAGACATAAGTAAATTCACATAGAATAACAAACAGATAATCTAAAAAGGTATTAACAATAATTATTAGTTAAGAACTATTAACATTAAAGATAATCCTTTTTCATTTATATCTTCTACATTTCTCAACCATGCAATGTTATTAAAGGCAGTGAAAAACCCTTCATTAGATACATGAAACTGGCAAGGACTTTGTGTGAGGCCTAATGCACTTCTAAATTGTGAAACGTTGGAATTGTTTTTGCAGACTACACGTGCCCCTGCCTGGGGAGTACACTAGCTCTAAGATGTGTTCACATCCTCTTGATTCTGGGTTTTTATTTGAATAGTAACTATAGTAATTACAGATACAAAATTTCACCTGCATTAAGAACGTACAAAAATGGTGATGTTTTCCAACATCTTATTCATTGAGAACCAATTAATTTGCAAAATACTGATGGGCCAAATCCTTTTCCTACTGTAGTGGGGGCATCAGATATTGATTTCCTCAGGCAAACATTTTGCCTTAATCATTAGAGGTGGTAGTGTTGTGCTTTGCCCCTTCCTTCTGGAACCTTTACTACATTAAACGTCCTGGAGCAGAATGGTTAAGCACTGGAAGATTTGTTTCCATCCTTATATAAGCTCAGTCTTTTTGGGTGCTTTTAAAAAATGGTGTACAGTGGGTGCGGTGGATGAGCCAGTCTCTAAAAGAGGTGGAAATTCTTTAGGCCCCTGCTTATCCACCCAAAATTTCAGATTTTGACACAGCCCTGGAATTTGTAAGCATAAATGTTGTATCTTCCTGAGCTGGGTTGCTGCGATGCCTAACAGAGCCTCACCATCCGCACAGCGGCAAGCAAATAATTTAGGTTTAACTTTCAGATTAAAATATATCTTAAATGAAAATAAGGGTGCAGAAACAAATAAAACAAACTAATTCTATAAATACACACACGGAGTCATTGAAGGTATGTGAAACCGAGGAAATCACGATTTACAGGATTTTGGGATTGTGAGAAAAATCCACAAAAGAGCACAATAAAAATGCTAAACCAGTCTTTTTAGGAGGAAGAAATTAGTCCCACTAAGGTAGTCGGATTTTTGATAGTAAATTCAGTCAGGCCAAGAGTATTAGCATCATTCTAGTAACATCTAGGAATAATTTCTGAGAGCATACAAGGTTTGGATTTGAGTCGGTATGAAATTGTTGTGCAGCTCGTCTTTAGAACAGATTTCCTGACTTTGTACAGCCAGTTTTAATCCCTTCCTAACAGCAAAGACAAAAAAACATAATCCCAAAACAAGTTGACTTCTTACCTGTGCAAATCCATTAAATGCTGTGCTGGAAGCCTAAGTAGAAGTGAAGATCAGAACAAATTATCATTTGTTTACTAAATCAGAACATGAGTCAAAACATTTTTATTTGCAAAATAAAAATATAGGCCAGGTATTAAAAAAAAAAGAGAAATAATAAAATGAAGGGTAAGGCAGCAAAAAATTTGACGACAGTGCTATTTGATAGTAGGTATCACAGGCTTAAAGAAAACAACAAAACCAAAAGGCAGAGTAACTAAAGTATTTTTATAAAATAATAATTAAAAGACTAGGTGCATTTGAAGTCAGACAGGTAAACCACAAAGCCTGCGAGACACAATGTGCCTTCACAGTTCAAAGCTTCATTCGCTGTTTCGAAAGGCGTTTTTGTCAGCCTGCTTCATTACACGACTGAAGGGCACCACACTGTGAACAGCCGCACGGCAAGTTTTCACAAAAAGAATAGCACAGCATAAGGAGGGACAGTGGGAAACACACGGATGGGTTGTTTTCAAACGACAAGGTTATGCATGGCCTAAGGAACTCTTTGTCTAGACTAGGCTACACACTGGGGTAGGTACCTCTTCTTTATCAGCCTCAATTTCCTGGTACAACAATCCATATCTCCGGTTAGCAATTTCATCTTCAGATAAATCTGAGTTGTTGGTCTCATTGTCTTTAGGACTAGTTGAACTCTCGGTGCTAGCATTTCTGGAATTTCCTATTTGAAACAGAGCCAAGGGTCTAGCTACCTCCTTGCTCGGTCCAGGATTGCTAACGCCTGCCTGCTCCCCAGGCAAGCCTTGTTTTATTGGTGCCTCCTGACTTTTTGTGCTCGCACCTACTTCTCCCCAGCTGCTGTCAGTCCCTCCTAGGTCCTGTGTAGACCACTTATCACTAATGCCTAACCAAACATTTTCCATGTTACCTTCCTCTGAGTCTTCCTGCTTGGGGAAAAAGGGCCAATTATCCAGTCCATTGGCTTGGCCATCTGAGAGATTAGAAAACCCCCAGGAATCAGTAGTAACCGTTGGATCCCAGTTTGTCAGCCTTTTTTTTTCACTGCCACTGGGATGATCTTCAGCGACGGCTGCTGCCATCCTACCTGTCACTTCATCTTCTGCGTTATCTAGGCAAGGATTAACGCAGCTTGTGCTAGCAGCATCCGCTGTCCTGTGTAGCAGTGCCCGCTCTTTTTCAGCAGCAGCCTGACCTTCAGCACCAGCACTGCCATTTGGGAAGAGACTGACGGTGTTGTCTTCATTTCCTTTACCAGACTCTTCTGCACTGAATAATTCAGCATCACACAGAGCATTTCCAGTGTCTGCGGGGTCTATTTCTGTGTGGTCAGTTCCCTCTAGGTCAGCACGTGCCGTCATGTTTATATACTCCGTGGATGCACACTCTCCAGTACCACTGCCAGTTTGGGTTAAGCCATCCTCAGATGTCCTTTCATGGTCCTGATCCCAGCTACCAAAGACTCTCTCAGGTTCAGTGGCAGTGTTTTCTGTAGTTTTACAGTTGTCCACTACTATTTCGTCCCCACCTTCCAGCCCTGTGCTCAACAATGGTATTTCTCTGTCTGCCTCCTCCATGACATTGAACCCTTTGAATTCTTCTTGCCTAGGGTTTTCTAGCTCAGCACCTCTAGCTCTCCCAGCATCCCCATCATTATCTTCCAACTCAGATATATTTTCTACCTCTGTGCTGACTAAAATTTCGAGATCTGATTTTGCTATACCCTTATCAAGTTCTGCCTCACTGTTTCCCTTGGTTTCGCAACCTTGCTCTTCCACTTCCTCTGTGCCTTCTACCTCCTTGTAATTAACAGCTCTGGTCTCTACCTTTTCACTCGGCTTGACACCTGCCCACTCTTCTTCCTCCCACTCTTCCTCTGCCTTTTGCACATCACAGGGGAGGGGTTCATCCAACAAGCTATCGGTTCCCAGGACGGGTGTCTCAAAACTGGTTATGTTCACTAAGGGCTGATCGGTCACCACATCTTCCCATGGGATGTTTTTGGCATCCAACTGGTCCTCCAGTGAAGTCCTCTGGTTTTCGTTTACAGAAGCTGACCCTGGTGCAGCATCCTCCTGCTCACCTACAGCAGGCCAAACACGAGCAGGCAGAGTATCCGTGGATTCGGTTGAGGTTTGCTCTGCCCCAGGGAAAAGCAAAGAACCGCCTGCAGTAATTTCCTGGCTGACACTGGGTGTGCTAACATCTAGGCCCCAGTTGAGTGAACCTAGATCAGTTTGAAATCTGTTAATATCTTCTGATGACCCACTGTTTGGGGTTTCCTCCATGACCAGGTTACACAGGGAAAGACTTTTTGAAGAATCAGGCTTTAAGCAGACAGAAAAGCAAAGAAAAAACACAAGATGAAAAAGATAAAGGCGGACTTGATGAGAAAACACAAAATTTGTATTTTACTAGAGCAATTTAAATTTAAAGAATGAAAGTGACTAAATTAAGCAGTTTAAGGAAAAGCTACATTCGGAGGCAGTAGATTGCAATTTAAAAGAGCAGAAACTGATAGACAAAACCAGAAAGCTATACATTACAGCACACCGACTAAAGCATGTTTCTAGAGCGGCTGCGAGTTTGGGGGAGGTTCGCTTACCGGCTGCACCAATTCGCTGCTTGTCTGTATAGGAGAAAATCATACACAGAAAACAGAGAAAATAAGAACATGACGCACTTTGTTACAGCAGCAGTTCATTTTGTTACAGCAGCAGTTCATTAATTAGCAGTTCTCAAACAAGCAGCAGTTACCCAAATTGGGCTGGGGAAGGAGTGGTGGGTCCTCTTCTGCCACTCCACAGAAGACTAATCCCAGGCTCCTGAATATAAGCTACACTTCTAACCTCTGGATACTATTATAAAAGAAGTTCTACATGTATGTTGAATATTTATCACACCTTGCTTTCCTCTGACAGCCACTGATACCTGACTGCAGGTACCCTATTGCATCTCAACTGAAAAGGGGGGGTCGCTCTGTGAGACAGTGAACAAGGAAAGAAGCAACCCAAGTGGCATCGGGGCTTACTCGTGCTGGTTTTAGTCATGACAGAGTTAATTTCCTTCACAGTAGCTGGTATGAGGCTCTGTTTACACTGAGACATTGCTGGAGAGGGCCCTGATTGTGCAGCTCTGACTCCCCATCACCCTGTGCCATCCACATGGCGTAAGGCATCAAGTCACAAAGCCAGCTACCTACACTGCCACGCTGAACTGATAAAGTGCTGCAAGGAAGATCAACAACTATTCTGCACTCAACTTATTATTAAACGAAAGTCAGTAAAAGGTGAGCATCCCTAATCTCAAACATTTAGCTGTGAAGCTCACTACTTACTCTTTTTTTTTTAATATAAAGCAGAGTGAAGAGAAAAATAATTATTAAACAAAATACATATATAGTATTACCTATAATATTACCTATCAATAAAGCTGTGTGAAAGGAATATATTGATAAAGCTATCTAATCAAAGTTTAGAGCAATAAATTAGAAACATTCCTAGGTTATTTTAGCTGGTCTAGCAAAATTGCCAGCCTTGAAATTTTGTCCACCCTACAGGTGTGACTGTTTTTTTCAGGCTTTATTTAACCTTTCCCAACAGAAAGAGATGAGCACTTAATATACATCACATATTCTGTGGTGTTCACCAAACAGTGCTGCAAATCTGAACTCATAAGAAACACCCACAGATTCCTGTGCTGGCTGAAGCTGCAAAAGGTCAAAAATGAGTGTACCAGGCTCCACACCAGCTCAACCCAGCTATCTCTGTGACATGAAGTTGAAAGAAAGGTCATGAAAATGAGCTGGTTTCTACCTGCAGATCATTGTATCTGATCTGGAAGCAGGAAGAAGGAAGGTTTCATGCAGTTTCCTAAAGCAGCAGATTCTTTCATAAAAAACTTGAGTTCATTGTATGCCCACAACAAGTTAAATTCTCTCTGCACTCCTGAATTTTGAGAAGACGGTTGTCCACTGGGTTAAAGCCCTGAGAAACTACACCTTCAGATAAGTAAAACAGGAGACTAGCATCTATTCCTACCCTCTAATAGCTGTAATTTAGGCACAAGAATAAAAGCAACTTATCTATAATGATTGTGAATCTTATTAGCCTAGATTTCTGACATCATTTTGGTTTTGTAGGCCAAGCAACAGAGATTATCTTTTGTTGTTGTGTGTCTTAAAAGATCCCCAGTGGCTTCATGTACTTGAAAGTGTTTGTGATGGTCTGTAAATTCTTTATCTTGGAATTTGGTAAAAACATTATAAATCTGAGTTTAGGGTGTAACAAAACCAGAGGCACAAAAATATCTCAATTCGCGCTGATCAACGCCAGGCTTACCGTCCATAGATCCCATGGCAATGTCTGAAAAAAGGGGTGGAAAAAAGTGGCTTTAGAAAAATACTGTTCATATACTGTGTGTTCAACATGCTACATAACTGTGTACATTAACTAAGAAGAGAGAACGTGTTTATACACATATTTATAATACATATATATTTTATGCATTTGCATTTGTGTGCGCGTGTATGTGTGGGTACACAGTCTGCATAATAGGCTTTTTTGGTTAAACAGGACTGGCAGGATGTGATGGATTGTGGTGTTTCTCACTTCAAAGCAGTTGTTGATTTCTAGCAAACTCATACTGCTGTATATCTGAGTAACAGCCAGATTCTGAGCTGGCGATGGAATGACTTCCAACAGGTCTCTGCAACGTGTGAGCTTTAAAGAGCTTCCATAGGTAAGACTTTTTGGCCAGTTAAACGATAATCCAGCTATCCACAGAGACCCAGTGGGTTTTCTCATTACTCCTACACCAGGAAGGAAAATGGCATGATTTTGGGGAAATAAAACAAGGAAGTAGGCCAATATTTTAATTTTCTTGCCCTGCCTGAAAAGCAATAAACGTTAGTGACCAGAACAGCCGAACGGACGGATGAAAGAAAAGCAGCAGCCTTCATGCCAAATACCAACAGGCCAACACATGAGACAGAACTCTGCTGGTTGGTCCCAAACGCTGCCTGAGATGCTTTCAAACATACCCACTACATTCACCCCCAGGTTAAATCCATGAAAAACAAAACCTGAAGACATTCATAAAGCAAAATGTAAAACTCTTCCTTTAGTCCCACCGCGTGGGACTGGGCGGTGGCAGTAGCTCCTGCCGTGGCTGGGTGCTGGATGGAGGCGAGCAGGGGGGGTCCCGGGCGCTGGATGGAGGCGAGCAGGGGATTCCCAGACCCCAGGGAGCCGAGCAGGAGCTGGGCAGCCCGCGTGGTAC